AGGCAGACAGAATAGGGATGTCTTGAAGTCGGTTAGAGTTTAATTGTATTAGGATATGGTATGAACGAAACTCGAAAACGAGGGACGAAGCCACATACATGTAAGGCAACGACTTTTAAACCCTGGGCCATGATAGGTAGTACACTAGTACCTGAAGGGCCCAGTAAGTGAGTTAACTAGGACCCATGCGACAGCGGGATGATTGAATCGGCCAGGACCGGGGTATCTTGGACACTGAGTGAGTGAGTGAGTGACTGTATCAAAGATGGAGGGAGGGTAGAGGTTCAACGGCGGAACCGGGTAGGGCAGAATTGACGTATGGAGATTACGAGGAGGGCACGAGGCAGATGCGTCAGGAAGAGATTTTTCGGGGAATTAAGCAATTGGAGGTGAGTCTTTACTACAGAGCCATTTGAGTCAAAAACCGAATCCTGACAGGCGTTGCTCGCCATTCGCTTCTAGTAAGAAGGATTCGCATCAGCCATGATATCCATAAGTGACCCATGCCTTAGTTACAGGGGGCGGAGAGAACAGGCAAAGAACTAAAACGGTACAGACTGGATAAAAAATGCACTAAGCAACCTTGTTAAGGGACACCACCAGATGCGTGGAATGGCGTGTAAGACGAAGCCCCAAGTTCAAGGGTGTGCGTCAACACGGCAGCCTCTTTTCAAGCGATATCAGATCCGAAATCAGTTCTTGTTCATGACTGAGGCCTCTACAGGTCGCGTGGTGCACCAACATACGTATTCTCACAGATATTCAAGGGACAGACTGTACGTAAGGTACCTGCAAGCTATCTTGGACCCATGACGGCGAAGGAGTCATACTCTGGAAACCTTGTAATCACAGACTTACAAACGTCCCCCCCATGGGGCTAATCTCAAAGTAATGCCTACCTACATCCATAGGTACCTTAGGCTACTACACTTCAGGTTGAGTACCATACAGTAACACGTATGTGCCCACGTACAGTGACGACGTCACAGCTGAGAGATCGAAATACCTACTCTTTAAAGATATGGTTGAGTTTCGTGTAGGTAATTAAAGGAATGTACCACTTGCACGCGTCTCCTCTGTGAGCCCCCTGCAAACGTGCATTTGCAACAAGTCACGCTAATACCTTGCTTGCCTGTCATGGTTCGAAACAGTGTAAGTTGGAGATGGCCAAGCGACCAAGCCAATAGAACACTGACTTTGTGCCAAAAGCCGCGTTGCTAAGCCACCTGTAGCCCTGGAGCTGAGAAGGGAAGGGGAGTAAAAACGGGAATGCGAGATATACGACGGACGGGGAGTAGGGCCTTGGGACCACGAGGTAATGAAAAAATAGTGGGACGTGCTAAGACGGGCCTTGTAAGGCAAATGTACCTGGGTATTCTTTGACGATACCTAATACGTATTCGTAGAAACTGTAGGTACATCATGCCTGTGATGTAATATCCAACGGCTTCAACCAAGTCTATAGGAAGATATAGGCATTTAATCGGATTTTCTAGGGAACAGAAAAGGCTCATCACGGATAATCTGGTCACAAGATACACCCTGTGATTCCGACCCGACATCCCCGGATCTTGCGTGCCGGATAATCATGGACAGGGATTCAGAGGAGTCATCGCCATTGCAACTACGGATATCTTAGCCTAGCTGGAGCCAGATTTCATTAGGAACGGGCCCGAGAACTTGGACACGTTTTAGCTGAGGTCATTTCAATTCCTGCACTGACCCAGCAGGTACTGTATCTCAGTGACACATCCCACACCGTATGTTATGCTATGTTTTAAGTTCCCTCCCGTCTTAACTACCAGGATCTTTTTCCAAAAAGGGCTGCCTTGCGTAGCAAAGTCGTTGCCTCAAGGCTTCCAAATCATGGCCTGTCTAAGACGTACGTATGTCTATACATGGGATGGGATATGAGGACACATTTTGATATCATCACGATCAAGATGGCCCATCAGCCCTATGAACACGCACTCGCACAACATCCCTTGATGGGATCGTGGAGGGTCAATTCATGCATCGCCGACGAACCAAGCAGTCGGTGAGAATAGGAATGAGATGAGTAAAGTTATGGCTACATATTCTTGTCTCGAGACCACAAAATAATCCTAACGAGGTCAAGGTGGCTACGAGAAAACCCTCACGCTAGGTACATATATGTCTCTCAAAGGGCGCGCGTGATCTCTGAAGCCCAAGTCGATCTGTCGTCGCTAGGAAATTCCAGGAACCTCAAACTTCATGATTATCAATCACGAGTCTCAGCTCGTCGGGGTGCACTGTATCCACGATACCGGATGATCGACGCTATACACTATACAGTATCCTAAGCTTGAAGCCCAGAACAATCTTAGCAGAAGCCAATTTTAGGCAGCCTCTGCAATGTTACATCTCCCTGTGAAATTCAATGCCTCGGAGGTGGCTACGAACCCGTTCCCATTCGTCATAATTAGCTCTTGGCTGCCCATAAAGAATATGCCAAACAAAAGGTCCCTTGATCAAGCGGCGGTAGCTGAAACTTTAACATCGACATTTGGGGGCCACCCTCTGACGATTCATTTGCTGATCAATTAGGCGAATGCGAGATATTCGCCAATCTGCACGGACTTTGGCTATCGTGAATTTCTTCATGGCTAGGACAATGCAACAAATAATGAATGAACATTGATGGAAAAGTTATGAGAGTGCTTCTTGGCGTGCAATTGCATGAGGGAGATTGCCATCAACGTACAAGTTACAATCAGAAGGACTCACTTAGTCAAGGATACGATATAAAATAACAAGTATTATTGCACATACAGCCACCTCTGTTTCTTAGTCATGTGCGGAGATGGCATTTTCTATTTCTGTTTCCTGTCACATCGTGAAAGTGGCTGCATATAGACCACCATCTTCAAATTAACAGACCTGAAGCCAGTCAACTAGTCAGAGAACAACGAGTTGAATGCCCACCATACATATGCCGATGTCTTAAACATTAGTCGGAAGTGAGGGTATCCGATATGCAGCTATAATTAACCCACCTCTCAGTGCTTGTTGATACAGCACTTGGGAGGCATCAAGTACAAGACGCGGGTAGGGTACCCAGCTTCACTACCTTCAGAACATTAGTTAGTCGAATAAAGAAGCTTAAAATAAAGAATCAGCATGATCTCCGCATAGCATGCTTCTTTTGTCAGGTGAATCACACACTAGGCAGAGCAGGAGATCGGATTTGTATCAACGGGCAATGCAGCATCAACACCGTTCATAGCATGTTCAAATATAGAATTACACACCTAAAGACATTCAGTCATTATGAATTATGTGGCATGTGAACGTTGAGGTGGTGTCAAGAGGGCACGGCACAGTTGCATTAGTTTAGCATAGCCTACTGTTCTTTGGAGTTTTGACAACAAGACTTCAACGAATTGATGGCCCACTACAGAAATTCGAAGGAGAATTCAAGTGACGTTGAAATAAGCTCAGAATTTACCGAGAATAAGATCCGGTATTTACGTCAAGCATAGGCAAGGTAGCTTCTCTTTCTGCCTGCCAAGAGGTAAAAAATACACCAGGCAGTAAGGTGTTGGTTCGGATACAATGCCTCAGGATGATATCTCCCCTAGGTAATCGCCGACATAATGTTCACACAGCCTCTCCCGTCCAAGCGAACATGGCAAACCGAGATACCAAATAGACCCGGGGCAGTTGATAATGTACTATCAAGCCTTTTTTGCACATCAAAAGACGCCCGAGAACAGCACTTGAGTGAAACATGCTTTTGCTCAGTCATCCATAAACCCCAGTCATATCTGCTAAAACTACAGTTGTAAATGTACATGTTGTGTCTTTGTCTTTTACACAACTATTACATATTGGCCAGCATCTCGGCCTCACGCTCAGCTCTTCGCTCTGCTGACCTCTTCTTGAACCGGACCTCGGCCCTTCTGCGCTCACCACCGTCAAGCTTGCGACCCTGGCGGTCCTCCCACATTCCTTCTGTAACCTTCACAATAGCCCCCGACGTTCCAGAGATGGGCTGAGCAAAAGGTCCAGCAATCGTCTCGTGACCAACGACTCGATACCCGTTTGGTCGGAGCAGATATAAGCCAGTGTCCTCTCCACCCTCAGAGTTCTTAATAGCTTTTCGAGGAATCTTTTTATCAGGCGTAAAATCGTGGGGCACGTTGACAACCCATTTCGTATCGCTGAGAGCCGAAGGAGGCGGTGTTGCGACCTTCAAGAGAGCCTGTCCATCCTTGACATATTCAAAGTCTCCGCCAGGGCCCAGCGCACCTTTTCTATATCGCTGCATCCAGTGCAAAAGGTACCTCCGGTTTCGGGGTGGTTCGATGCCCAATTCCTTGAGTTCTGGCGAGGTGAGGGAGAAGAGAGCGTTCCATGAGGGGAACTTGTTGGCGTACTTGTTGAGGCCACGGCCGATCAGGGTGAGGAAGGTCGGCACATCGGGAACGAATGGTCGGGGCTTGGGGATCGGGTGCGCAGGCCGTGTCTTGTGAAGTTGTCGGATTTGTCCTGTCCTTGAAAAGGCGCTGCCGGTCTGCAGAAGCAGGCCAAATGTTGACCTGAGTCGTTCGCCATTCATTTTTCTATAAACTTGTGTTAGAGAACATGGTTAACAGTATCAAATTCCTATTGCAAACTTACGCTGCTCAATCGGTCGGATGACACAAGTTCAGCCGCTACCTCAATCAACGAAGTCTCAAAAGCCCAACGTTGATCTCGAAATTTGACGATGGGTCTTCGTTATGTCAGCAAGGCTGTTTCTGTGGCTGCTGCCCCTCACAACTGTGGCGCTGATCCCTGTTAATTCAATGGTGCTCCACTTATATCCGGCCAGGCTGATATCCCACCTCAAATGCCTACATGCTCCTCCTACCTTCTTCCCTCCCGCATCCTCAATTTCATGTCGAGTCATCTATAATTCTTCGTGACCTCAGGCTTGGGGCATCTCCATCTCCCAACCAACAGTGGTAAATGACAACAAACATATACCATCAACCATGGGCCGCTGCAAGGCCACCGCCCGGCGTTCTACTGCCAAGGCACCTCACTTACACATTGGACTTGATGGTGAGTTAACCATCCGGGTTTTTATTCCTGCACGCTCACATCTTTGACTTCAGATTTGATGCCAACGTCATTCGTTGAAGGGCTTATCAGTCTCATGATTTCTGAAAATGAAACTTCAGATCAAGCATCCTCGTCTCAGGAGAATGGGCCACCTACAAAGCGACGTAAGACCGAGTCTCCAATGACCTCGAATGCTATACCTATCGCAAAGAAAGAATTTACTATTTCTCGCCCTTGCGCAGGGTCCTCTTCCAAAAGTCAATCATTCATTTGTAAGAACGTCGATCGCTACATTAACATTGATTTTAAGGACAATCAACTTTGCATGAACTCGCGGAAGGATTGCCCATCGGAACCGTTGGATGTTCTGATTAGGCTAAGACGAGCGGAAGAAGATGATCAGATGAAGATTTCTTACGTCTTGGATAGCATCTCCCAGCGAGCGTCACAGCCGAATGCGCTATGGGGCACATTCGACCTGGAACTTCAGTGGCAAGGAAGGCAGGTTAAGATGGCTTTCTGTCGCAATTTCTACTGGAATGCATCTCCATCTCCGCACTCTCAATACAGATCGTCACTAGACCGCTGCAGCAGTCAGCCCTTCATTAACTTCCTACTGCGTGGCTCGAGGTCGACAGGCACATCTTATAGACCTTCAACATGGTCTCCCATGGACTTTTACGAAGCGGCTTTTGTTCCCCGAAAGGACGAGAAACCACCTGAAACTATTCAAGTCGATGCTTTAGAATCGACATTATTCCCATACCAGAAGCGCACACTACAGTGGTTACTGCGACGTGAAGGAGCGCAGTGGTCAGCAGATATGCGACGTGTCATCCCATACGTACCTGAAAATCAGGATAGCGTATATGACTTCAAGAAACTGACGGATGTGGCCGGGAATGAGTACTACTTGAGCGAACTATTCCATACGGTGACGAGAGATATTTCGCTGTTCCGACAAGCTGAGGCTTCCATCAAGGGCGGCATTCTGGCAGAAGAGATGGGCCTTGGTAAAACACTGGAGGTACTTGGATTAATCTTGCTTCACCAGCGATCTCGACCCTTGATCCAGAGTGAATATGAGTCTCAGGCCGAGCTGACGCCGAGTGGCGCTACGTTAATCGTGACCCCCCCATCGTTAAAAGACCAATGGGCATCTGAAATTGCTCGTCATGCACCGAGCTTAAGTGTCAAAGTTTATGAGGGTCGGAAAAGAATATCGGAAGCGGACGAGCAACAGGCCACAGATGAACTTGCTGGCCACGATATCATTCTCACAACATACTCTGTACTGTCCTCCGAGCTTCACTTCACGATAACACCCCCAGAGCGTTCACGGCGGCACGCAAGAGTTTATGATCGGCCCAAGTCCCCCCTCGTGCAAATCTCGTGGTGGAGGATATGCCTTGACGAAGCTCAGATGATTGAAAGTGGTTATAGCCAGGCCGCGAAAGTGGCTCGTGTTCTTCCTCGGATAAATGCGTGGGGTATCACTGGAACTCCGGTGAAGAATGACGTTGAGGATCTTCAGGGCTTGCTCCTTTTCCTCCAGTACGAGCCCTATTGTTCTGTGAACCAAATATGGCAAGATCTGATCCGTCATCACAAATCTGTCTTCCAGCGCCTATTCAACAGGATCGCTATTCGGCACACAAAATCATTGGTCAGAGATGAGTTGGTTCTACCATCCCAGAAACGCTTTGTCATCAGTATGCCCTTTACTGCCGTTGAGGAACAGCACTACCAGTCCCTTTATCGAGAAATGGCGGAAGCGTGTGGGCTCAGCCTTGAAGGAGCGCCAATTGTGGAGGACTGGAAACCTGAGGATCATGAAGAAGACATGAGAACTTGGCTGGTTCGACTCAGACAGACTGCGCTGCATCCTGAGGTTGCAGCTTATAACCGCCGAACTCTTGGCAACAGCAAGAATCGGCCCATGAGGACCGTCGACGAGGTTTTAGATGCTATGTTAGAACAAAGCGAAAGCGCGATTCGATCAGAAGAGAGAGCTTATCTATCCAGTAAATTGACACGAGGTCAACTATACGAAAACAGCCCCCGAGTAAAAGAGGCACTGGAAATATGGTTATCAGTACGAGAAGAAGCTCGAAAACTTGTTTCCAAAGCCCGTGATGAGCTCAAATCCTTGGCTGTGTCAAGAACTGGGCCCGCCAGTCACGAGGACTCTGATATCGATGATGATTCTGGAGTTGAGGAGAAAGGTCAACTGTTTGAAAGTCGACGAAGACTTCGTGGAGCATTAGAGATGTACCACAGGGCCGTCTTCTTTTGCGCGAATGCATACTTCCAGATTCGCGAAAATTCAGAAATGACTGAGCCCGAATCTGAGGATTTTTCACGTATCAAGAAGTTGGAAGATGAGCACTACGAGGAAGCAAAGGCCATTCGAAGGGAAATCCTACAAGAGCCTCACCACAAAGCAACCCGTCTGATGGCGAAGGTGGCACAGAAAGCATCCGAACAATCTTTTGTTGAGATTCCGGAGCTCACAGTTAATGAGGAACGAGGCATTGAGAGCGGTCGCATTGTCGACGATCTAGAAGCATTGTGCAACGAACTGAACGACCAAGCAAATGTCATTGATGAATGGAGGGAACACCTGATCGGGCTGGTTCTGAAGCCCTTGGTCGATGAGGAGGAGGAGGTCGAAACCACTGGAGATGAATACGGCGAGTCAGCCAAAATTCAGGATGAACTCATGGTCTATGTTCAAGCTCTTCGAGCCATCATTGCTGATCGACAGGATGCTTTGACTGGACAGACTAATGAACTGATCAAGCACGAAACACAAACGTCGCTGAGACTCGCAGCCAACGAAGAAGGTCCTGCCCCCGAAAAGCTTATTGAACTTCTTGCATTACGAGATCAAATCAAGCCCCGATCGACCTCGATGCGGAAAGCTATCAGCGAGTTTCGAGGCTTAACATCGAAGCTGGCAAGGGATACCACACGAAGCATCCTGGAAGGTAGAATTGCAGATCGACAGCTCAAAGCAACGCAAGCAATTTTGAACACACAGAGCAAGCTGATCACGGCTCTTGAGGCCGAGGTCGACAAGTTCAAGAACATCATGAACCTGCGCCTGGAGTATTATCGCCAATTGCAAGTAGTCTCTGACAGTGTCCTTCCCTACGAGGAACCTGTCACTGAAGAACTCATGAGAAGGATGAAGACGAATGAGGAAAACATGCGGCAAAGGCTGTCGGCAGCAGAAGCCAAACACAGATACCGTGAGTTATACGCCCCCTTATAATTTGACCCCAAATTAACTTTCCAGTCCTCCACCTCAAAGAAGCAGGAAACAAGTCGAACGAGCCGCGAATGTGCGTCATCTGTCAGACCAATTTCATTATTGGCGTGCTCACGGTTTGCGGACATCAGTTTTGCAAGGAGTGCATGATGCTGTGGTTCAATGCTCACCATAATTGCCCCGTGTGTAAGAGAAAGTTGAAGTCATCCAACTTGCACGATATTACTATCAATCCTCAGCAACTCAAAGTGCATAGCGATGACCCAAGCCAATCTCAAGATGGTACGGAGAATAGCTCTGAGCAAAAGCAAACCGATTCGCCAAAGAAAACCGGGATCTACTCCGAATTCAACTCAGACAAGCTAGCCGAGATACAGAAAATCGAGCTGGACGGGCCTTCATTCACCACGAAAGTTGATACGCTTGTAAAACATTTGATGTGGTTGCGGGAGTCTGACCCCGGCGCAAAGTCAATTGTATTCTCGCAATACAAAGGATTTCTGGGGATTTTGCGTAACGCTTTTTCTAGATTTAGGATTGGCTATGCCTCCATTGACGACCCCGATGGCATCAAACGGTTTAAGGAGGACGCCTCAGTCGAATGTTTCCTTCTTCATGCCAGGGCGCATTCCAGTGGCCTGAATCTGGTCAATGCAAGCCATGTCTTTCTCTGTGAGCCTCTCCTCAACACGGCGCTCGAGCTCCAGGCAATTGCACGTGTGGACCGGATTGGTCAAATGCACGAAACAACTGTATGGCTCTACCTTGTGTCAGGGACAGTCGAGGAGTCGATTTACAATCTTTCGGTCCAGCGGCGAATGGAGCATATGGGACGTGTCAATAAGGGTAAGTCGAAGCAGTCGACGCCCGAACTTCTCGACGTGAATATCGAGGCAGCAAACACTCTGGAACTCGAGCAAGCATCACTTTCACGGTTGATGAGTAAGGATAAATCGGCTGGTGAGATCGTGGGAAAGAATGATTTATGGGAATGTCTGTTCGGACATATTGCTCGCAAAGAGACTGAGCCCGAAAAGGATATCAGGCTTCAGGAAAAGGCTGTCATGGGTTACTTAGCAGCAGAGGCAGCCGAAGAGAGAATGGACAGGAACGATTAGATACCAGGATCATGGCATGGAGGAATGGATTTGGCGCATGGGTTAGCTTTTACGACAAGTCTCTACATCAAGGACTTGTAACTATGGGTTCTCATTTGTGCTTTAGATCAGGGTTTTGTCATGAATGCAACGGCAATGCTGACGATATAGTGCACAGAGACTACGGATCATGTCCCGTGGCAATGTGTGGGGAAAGCATGTCATTTTCTCAATGCTCGTTTTGATACATATGATATACATCAGATACTTTTGGCTCATGGTGTCCCTTGATCCATTGCCAAGTGACGAGTCAGATAGATCATTTCTCATGATACCCAACCCCTAGTCTACCCAGGCATGTACGCCATGACCCTTGAAACTCAGACATGGTTTCGTCACAAAATACAGTGCGCACGTGCGCAACATGTCGAAAAGAAGATATCTCGCTTCCTTAATCGACTCGCTTGGTCTTGGCGCTGGCGCCAGACTTGACGCGACGGGCGACAGGGCGGTTGATGTGGTGGTCAGGGATCCAGCTCTCGTCGTAGTCCTTTCCAGAGGCAACGGCAACGGGGGTAGACTCGGAGCCGGAGAGAGGCTCAGCGACATCGATGGTCTTCTTGGCCTTCTTGTTGGTACGGGGACGCTTAGCCTGGGGGAAGAGAGCCTCGATCCAGGTCTTGTAGACGAAGTAGAGGGTACCGGCGAAAGCAGCAGAGAGGAAGAGGTAGAGGAAGATACTGCAAATGTTGTTAGCTTGTGATTTGGATGAGACTTCAAAGGGAGTGCATACATCTGGGGGTCAAGGAAGCTGGTAGGAGCCTCGACGATGGAAGCGGGACCGTTGTGAACCAAGACCCGGTGGAGGTTGCCAGTAGAATCAGTGACGACAGCAGAGAGCTCAACGCGGACCTCCTGGGGCTGCATGTCCTGGGCGAAAGAGAAAGGAAGCTCCTTCTTCTCGCCGGCAGGGACCTCAATGTTGTACTGGACAGAGGTCAAGTTGCGCACGATGCTGGCGTAACGGGGGCTGTCCTCGGGAAGCTCCTTCATGGTGTTGAGAGAGCCAGCGACGAGGGCGACATTGATAGCATTGGCATCCTTGTTGTTGATCTCGATGACAGCCTTGGTAGGGCGACCGTTGACGAGCTTGACACCGAGGATATCGGCTTCGGGGAAAATAGCCTTGATATCAGCCTTGAGAGGAGCCTTGGGAGCGGCATTGGCTTCAGGGGCGTCCTTAATTGGATGTTAGCATCGAGATAGAGGAGATGAAGCTGTCGCGCGACACGAACCTGAGCAACGGCGCCAAAGACCTGAGCAGCCACGAGGGCGAGCAAAGAAGCCTTGAAGAACATGACGACGAGAAGATGAGGGGAACCTATAGAGAAGACACCGATGAAGAAGATTGGGGGAGGGAGATGGAGAGAAAAAGAGAAGAAGAAGCTGGTGGAGATGATGGAATATGGGGGGGAACAGGTTGGGCAGTGGGTGACAAGACAATCTGGCCTCTGGAGGCGAATGGAGGCGAATGGAGCAAAGGGGCCCGGGGAGGGGTGCTGTTGTGGAGAATAATTCAGATTGGTTCGAGACTCGAGGTTTTAGGGGATTATAGTGGGGTAAGACACTAAAGCTGGAGCTGTTTTAGGGGTTTAGTGGCTGTGACGGGTGCTGAAGCTATGAGCTTGGACCAATGGCGTTATTGGATCTGGAGCTGCGCCGTTTTGAATTGAGCTTATGTATCAGTCTTATTACCAACGTTGAAACCAATTCTGACATCAATCGTCATGTTACATAGCGATAGTTGATTGACTTCGCGAGAGATCGGTAATCGGTGAAATGTGGAGTCTCCCGGTGTCTTCGCCGGTCGGTCTTCCGTTTGACTCGGCCCCGCTCCGGGCTGTTATCAGATATCATTGACTTCAAGGGTATTTCATCTGTCAGGCAAGTATTTGTCTAGTAGTTACGGAGTAAATTGAGAGAATTGCAAAATGTAACTAAAATGAGTATGCCATGAGAATATGCTGCTCTTTATGTGTTAAATGCTCTAAAATATGCAAGTCTATAGTTATGACTATGCCAGTGTATGTACTAATATGCCCGCCTCAGTTTTCTAAACTGGTGAATCTTCGGTCTTTTCAGTCTCTTCAACTTCCTTTGCTTTCTTCTCCCACGCTTCTAGTGGTACAGGTTGGAACAGCTGGCCATTTAGGCTCGCCTTGATAGTCCCACACGCTACCATAACCCACAACAAGAACTCGACAACAGAGAATATTGTTCCCAGCACTTTGAAGAACTTGGAAGGTAGCTCCTGAGCAAGTGTCGTGGTCGCCACTGTGAGCACTCCAAGAGGGAAAGTGAATGCCCACCAAGTGAGGTTAAAGGTGATTTGGCGTCTGACGATAGTGGCGAGAGCAAAGAAGAGCCACACAACAGCAAATCCCCATAGAATGAGGGCAGTGAGAATGCCAGCCAGGTAGAAGAATTGGCCCGCGAGGGGAGCCTTAGGGATGAAATCGTTTCTGGCAAAGAGTTTAAGAGAGACTTGGCCGAGGAGTTGGATTGCTGCTGCGCCCATACCAAGAGGGCCAATGGCAATGAAAGATGCGACAGCAACTTGGCCAGGAAGGATGTCGTGAATCACAAGACGGTTGTAGTACATGGCGAGAATGACGATCGCCATTGGTACGCTAGTTCCCCAGAGGATGTAGCTTGTAATGACGGTCCATATGGCGTGTTGGTCGTTGGGGAGAACATTGGCTACGATGGCTCCAGAGGTGGAGGCAACGATGTCGGCAATGACGGGGAAGAGCCACGAAGGGTTTACCTGATCAAGTGTGATCTTTTAAGGGTGAGTATGACACGTCGGTACTGGACTTGGTGATTAACTTACACCCTCTGTTCGCATGATACAATGCGGTATGTAAAGACTACAAGCAGTGGCCATAACAACATCTATCCACCAAAGAGCCCATGCAAGATTGGCAGCCCAATCACCCCAGGCTGGGACGCATACAAAGACTATCATGTTGATAATGGTAGCGAAGCCAACTGGTATCGTTCCTTAGACAGTTGTTAGCTTCAATCGAGGACAATCGATCACTTCATGACGAAATACGTACCTAGAAATACAGCCTGTGCTGGATGTCGTAACGTTGAGTACCATATACCTTTGAAGTACGTATATCTGACAATAGATATACAGCTAAACAGAGTGAATAACACTATATTTAGACAAAATATTATACAAGAGACGTAGAATAGCCATCGGCCGTGGTAGGGCAGGTTATGAAGGAGAACGGACGTGATTCCAGTGCCCATCGTCACCGTGAACCACGAGGGAGTGAAATTGACAACAATTCGGCGCCATCCTCTTCGATTCTCTCGATATTTATCGTGCTTGAGTTCTTCTGGGTTCGTTGGTGCCGCGGGAGCTGCTATGTCAGAACCTGGATAAGTGACCTCGCTAGAGTCTAGGTCTGGTAAATGATCTGAGGGAGTTGGTATTATGGAGCTCATAGTGAGATCTACTGAGCAAACAAACTGAAATGTCTTGACAGCCAGTATAAGCCATTGAATAGAAGAAAGGTCACGTCTGTTTAAGTACTAGTAATTAAATCGATCAATGTTAGGACACAACACAACGTGACGTCGCGGAATCGGCACCTCGGCCAATGCCAATTTTCGACCCACGACTCGTCGTCATGTTTTTCTTCCCTACTAACCAACTAACTCGTGCCATTGCCACGCAGTCGACGCACTCTCTTTATAGGGTTCCCGCGGAGACGTTTGAACTCGTTTAATGCCTAGTCCACAACCGTATGATGCTCAATTGGGGTTGTCTTTGCTGAGCATAACCTCTTTGTGAAGGAGTTGGTTGCTCGACCTATAGCGTGTCGTGCCTGTTAGTCATAGGAATTCAAACGTCAGTTCATGGGTCCAAGGCGAAACATGCAGATGACTATACTGTTGCATTGGTCCTTTTAAAACTCGAGACTATTGTCGTACTGACATAGAGTGGATAGTATGTTTTTTGTCCTGTTTATATACATAGTCTTCGGCAGTATTTGTTGTTACATCGGAGAATTAGATCTCTACGTCAAAGCAAGCCACCTCCGCAAAACACTGTCTCTCTAACAACAGCCATTGCCGTACCAATTGAACTCTAGTTGTATTAGAAGTTGTTCTCGTAATTCAATATCTCATCTTATTCCGGCCCAAGTGATCATAAATGACAAAAAGACTTAGGTAACTTGGGATAAATTTAGGGTAACTTTACTAGATTTAGGATATCTTTTGCTAAGTTTATTTTTGATACTCTATATTTAGGCCGGAGTTTTCTTGCCCCCCGAGGCCATGTCCTCCAGTGTGACTGTTGTACTTGGGTGTCACATAGCCAGGCATAGAATCCCTCTCCTCCACCGCCAGATGGGCACCAGCGATGCGCAGCAATTGTGCACAAGGTTCCTGGCCTGACTTGACAGCGACAAATAGAGGCGAGTGATTGGCCTTGTTGCGCTCGTGGACGCTGGCGCCCCGCTGTAGCAGCTCAAGGAGGATCTCGGTTCTACCGGCCACCGCTGCGAGATGCACCGCTGTGTTTCCTGCGTAGTCAGACTGCTTGAGGAGTTGAGCACCTTCACCCTGCAGCAATTCTTTGACGAGTCCCGATTCGCCATTCTCAATCGCGTATCCGAGTGCCGAGAATGCAGTCTCGCTTGGCGTAAGATGGGATGCAGCAAAGTCGAGTGAGCCGGAGGGGTGAGAGAAGCTTTGGTGGGCAATCTCTGTCATCTCGCCACGGAGCGACCGGGAGAGCTTCTCCTGAATTTCCTTGACTGAGAGGTTTGGTTGAGCAAGTAGATAGGAGACTTTGGTGAGCGCCGCCTCGGCTGTTAGGTCGAGCCCAAAGATGACACCGGCCCGGCCGAGGACAGTACCTGGAGCATAAACGGGAGACACAAAGCCATTAACACATTGACTAACATTGACAACGACAATGCCACGCTCAACAGCCGCCTTGATGATCTGCGTAAGACGACCCTCGGCACCACCAGGGATGTTACCCATGCCAAATGTCTCAAGAATAAGACCACGGATATCGGGCAAGTGAAGCACGGCGTCAATCATCTCAGGCTTGATACCCGGAAACACGCGCAAGCAAGCAACGTGAGTAGTGTCAAGACCCTTTGTGACGTGAAACTTGGCAATCGAAGTCGGACGTAGGACAAGGGACCAGTTAACGCTGATGCCGAGGCCATTGACCTTGGCGATGGGCTCGCAGTTGGGACTGGCAAAAGCCTCGAACTCTGTTGCTGAAACCTTTGCGCTGCGGTTTCCACGGTAAAGGCGGTGATGAAAGAACAGGCAGACTTCAGGAATGGTGAATGTTCCGGCGATGATGAGGGATCCCAAGAGGTTGTCGACACCGTCGGATTGAAGTGCAAAAATGGGCGCCTGCGAGCCAGTGAGGATCACGGGCTTGCCCAGGTTCTCCATCATGAAGGAGAGAGCAGAGGCCGTGTAAGCCAGAGAGTCTGTTCCGTGAAGGATGACGAAACCGTCAAAGAGATGATAGTTTTCTTGAACACATGAGGCCATAGCATCCCAATCGTGGGCGGAGATAGAGCTAGAGTCTAGTAGTGGGCTGAACTCGATGATACCATAGCGGACATGGCGATTGTATGCTGTAGCAGGAGTGCGAAGACTGTCGATCTGGATCTTTTCTCCATCACGAACTGCTGGAAGTGTATCTGGGTTTGAAAAGTCATTGAATGATGGGCGAGGAGCCATAGCATTCTCCAAGAAGTTGTCTGTTGGCTGAAGACCATCAGGGCCTTGCTGCATACAAATTGTTCCTCCTGTGCCAATTACAAGGACCCGAGACTCGGGGTAATTGGTCTCGGGAGCCTTCAAGGCAGGAGAACCATGAGAGCCTGTCTCGCTCATTTTGAAGGGGTTCAAGGGGATGCAATGAAACTTAGGACCTCTATCCTAAGCGACAAAACACCTTATTAGGTAAACTTAGCATTATTTAGTATAGATTTAGAGGATCTTTGACCAAGTATTCTTCGCACCTCAGTTTAACGTCAGAAGTCTTCTTGCACCCCGGGGGGTTGAAAGTTGTATGGGAAGTGGTTGATTGACCTGATAGTCTAACAATTGATATCGGTGATGGATAGATAAGACCTGATGTGAGAGAGGATAAGATAGCGACTCAGTCAGCGCATCAACGATTGGAGTTTGAATATAACGATTATGTCGAATAGAGATGAAGAAGAATAAATCACAATCACGAGGAGGAGAAGTGAAAATTTATCTACGGCACGCGCAACGTTAACAAGTACCTACAGTTCCGTACAAACTAAACCTTGTGGACAAAGAAGCCATCAAGTGGATCCTCTCGAGGTTATGAAGGGGTAACAGAAACTCGATATCTCGCGGGGACTGGCGAGTAAGAGGCGATAATGTTTGGTGTATGCGATAGCCCATGGAGACTAAGTATTAGAGAGGAAAACTATTGGTGTGAAATCAAGGTCTTGAGTTGTACTGCTTATTTGTCCTAAGCATTTTGACTACTGAATTGGTTAATGAGGAAATGGGATGTCGTATCTATGGTCTGGTGTTGATGATCAGTAACAAGTGGCAGGTGATCAAGAGGATATTTTTACGGTGAACAGAGAGACTAGATTAATACAGGCAGAGCTGTTGAACATATATGTGTATATAACTGAATACATGAGTAACCTCAGTAATTATCAGATATCCTATCTTTTACCCCAGAGATCAAGATCTCCCAAGACGTGGGGAGGATGAATAACAATTAGTTACTGGCACTGGCCATTTACTTATGGACGTGCGTGGGTTGGGCTGCGTTTTTCGACACATCTTCTATTGGCAAAGGCTAGAACAATGTGGATTCCCTTCTACGTATTTTGATGCTTCACAGCCAGCACCAGCGGCGGCAGAACGACCTCCGATTACGGGGCCCTACAGTAACAGGGACTCAATACGTTGGGTTCACAATAAATTCAACTAAGGACAGTAACTTTAATAAATTAATAATATTCCCGAGATCTCTACGAGGCCAGGATTGCCATTAGATATGGTTAAACGAAACTTTCCGTGATATCCATGCTTTTATGTTTAACATGGATAGCGAGCTTTCACATGCCCAAACACCACCAGTACAGGATGCTTCAGCCATAATATCAGGTAAACGGGTTTTCAAGGTCAAATACAGCCATGGCTTTAGTTTGGTTATGTAATCAATGTATCTAATGTAGGTATACATAGATCAAGCAAAGTACTATATGACGTACGCTCCAAGATCACAATCATTTTCTTGCTGCAAGACAATCGCCGAAAAAGTGAGAGAATCTCGACAATGACGATCATCAACCCAGATGATAAAATGGATCCAACAAACGCAAACGCAAGGGTCTGCAGATACGTACCCCCCTGGAGCACCCATCCCTTCTCGCTCCGCTAAACCTCTTCTGAGCATTCTGCCACGTTCTAGGCCTGACCGCCTTCGTGCGTCTCTCTAAACTCTCGTCTTGGCCTTATTGAAAGTGCATTGACAATCAAGGACAATCAACCAACAAAAACATCTATAATAGAAAACCCCGCTCACTCTCCTTTTCAAAATACCAGCGCCGACTCTTTGACTCCTCCCTAGACATTTACTCTAAAGCGTCAATCATTATTCACACTTTCCCCGATGATTCACGATTAAGAAGCGATGCGAATCTTGTGAGAAGCCTCCCAGCCTCACTCAATTCTTCCCGACGCGCGCATCGTCAACTCACCTCTTCGAGCAACCAACGACACAGATAAAATGTCAGACTCAACGCCTGATGGCACTTCGCCTCGAACCTTTGCGCTCAACCACTTGAGACCAAAATCAAGTTTCAAGGGATGCTCCCGTATTTCCGACTATGAATTGCTAGGCAAACTGGGAGAGGGAACCTTTGGGTACGAACCCCTTGGTCGGCGCATATATCGTCGATCATCGCAACCGAACCACGATCGCATATACTAACCAAAGTTTAGTGAGGTTCACCGTGCCCGCTTGCGCAAGACCGGCACACTTGTCGCCCTGAAAAAAATCATCATGCATCATGAAAAGGATGGCGTATGTCGAGGCACCACCCCACCCAAGAATCACACTGACGATGATCACAAAGTTTCCCATTACCGCCCTTCGCGAGATTAAGCTCCTCAAGCTCTTGTCGCACAAGAATATCCTGAGGCTCGAGGATATGGCCATCGAGCACCCAACTAGACAGAGTGAGTGGACACGACTGCTCCTTGCTTGATTCAACTGACAACAACCCCGTTCAGCCGATAAGCGCAAAAAGCCCATCGTATACATGGCCACTCCCTATATGGATCACGATCTCTCCGGCCTTCTCGATAACCCATCGGTCCATTTCAAGGAGCCTCAGATCAAGTGCTACATGCTGCAACTGCTCGAAGGCCTGCGGTATCTCCACGACAGCCGCATTCTGCACCGAGACATGAAAGCTGCCAACCTGCTCATCAACAACCAAGGTATCCTTCAGATTGCCGATTTCGGTCTCGCTCGACACTACGAAGGAGATGTTCCCAAGGCTGGCCAAGCCTACGGCCCAGGAAGGCGAGATTATACTGGTCTGGTAGTTACTCGATGGTACCGACCACCTGAGCTTTTGCTACAATTACGACAATACACCCCCGCTATTGACGTTTGGGGAGTAGGGTAAGCGTGGATTCGGAATTCAGACTCTCCTTGGTGCTAACAATCAATGTAGCTGTGTTTTTGGCGAGATGCTCTTCGGAAAGCCCATTTTGGCTGGCGAAAGTGACGCACATCAGCTCGACATGATCTGGGACTTGATGGGATCTCCGAATGAAGACAATATGCCTGGGTGGAAGCAGTTGCCCGGTGCTGATCATCTGTCCCCTCGGCCACGAACTGGCAACCTCCAGAACAGGTTCAGAGAGTAAGTCTGCATGGGACAATCTTCGAGGTCCAGTCACTAAATTCATTTCTAGGTACGGCTCAGGGGCAGTCTCATTACTAAAAGAACTTCTTAAGCTGGACTGGCGGACACGAATCAACGCAGTGGACGCCTTACAACATCCATGGTTCAAGATGGCGCCATTACCGTTGGAGCCCCACGAAATCCCCGTTTATGAAGAAAGCCACGAGCTGGATAGAAGAAAGTTCCACGACCGCAAGGCTGCCTTACCCCCTGCCCCCAAGGGTGGGACTGTAGGTATTGGTCCAGATGCGAAGGGCGCCACAGCGGGCTTCAACAGCAACGAGCCTTACGGAAATGGTCGGAATGGTGTGAACGGAGGCAGATATCGCAACGGACCAGATGAAAGGCGCCCCGCTTGGCAACGAGATCGAGGCGCTGGGTTACCGCCACGACCACCTCCGAACGATGACGCAGACTATCGTGAGCGAGGACCCCCTCGTGGTAGAGGAGCACCTGGGCCAAGAGCCCCAGATGTCGACACGTACATACCCGCCTATAACCGGGATGATCCAGGCCGACGGAGGGACGACCGCCCTCCTCCACCACCCAGAGATGACCGTCGGCGACGCAACAGTAGAGAAGACCGACGCTACGAGAGAGACCGTGGCACCATCAGCCGCAGTAGGTCACCCAGGCATGATCGGTCAAGAGATCGAGACAGGCAAGACCGTGATAGGCCAGACCGTGATGCATACCGGAGATAGGATCCAGCCTCAGCGATACCGCCTCACGTGTACGCAGGCCACAGAGGGAACAAAGACCCAGTACCACCTCGAGGAGGGACGAGATTAGGAAATGTATACGGTAGTACAGGCGTTTGAAGGCGAACAACCGAGATTAATCACATGTCGATTCGGGCAGAGCAGGACATGGCGCAACGGAATGATACGACCCAAGTAAATAAGTAAGGAGGAAGAAGAATATCCTTGGAAAGGCTGAGTGTCTAGTCTAGCATTATTACATGAGCGGCGCATGGTATAAGAGGATTTTAGCAGATTGATCCTCTCGTCTAAGAACATATATTATGGGATTATCCATAGCGTAGAAGTTGGCAGCTGAGCTTTGATGTACTATAATACTTATACACGATCAATACTCTGAATCATCGTCATCCTCCTCGTGAATGGTCTGCGATAGTAAGCCACCAGCCGGCCGGCGCCTTTGACTGGAAGAGTCAAGCCATTGCCAGTCGAGCTCAGTGCCTGAAGATTGCGAATCTCGTCGACTGCTGGTCTCGAGCAAACTTCCCTTAGAAGATGACCTTCCTGAGTCGATATCGTCACTCTGCATCCCTAGGTAGGATGTGATGATTGATGAGAATACGGCCAGGCCGATGCCAGTCAAGATGCCGACTCCAGCTGCAGCGCCAAACTAGAAGTTGTTAGACTGAGATAAGCTCATGTGAGTTTTGGTCTTACAAAGGTATACAGTGGCTATGGAACGTTAGCATAATCTTAACTCAATTTGATGTTACAGCATACCTCTAAGCAAGCCAGAAAAGCCCATACAGAGCGTACGGCAGCAAGTGTGTAAGAGAAGAGATAGATAGCTGGTGCAAACACAACGAGTAGAATGTTGAGAAGAAAGGACAATGGTATGAGAATTAGGCGGAAAGGAAAGCTGATTATAGTAAAAAGCCGTGAGAAGAAGCCTGACCAGTTGAAGGAGAAGAGAAAGCTGAAGACAGCGACAACGATGTCGAATGCGAGTATGAATGGAGAGACTGTGGGTGAGGCTTCTTCTGATGTTGCTGCCACGATTGTAGAAGTTGGGGGTGATGAGTCGGACATTTTGGTTGGAAGAGGTTGTGATGTTGATGGTGAGTTGGGTGAGGCTGTCTATAAGGAAGGGAGGATTACATCACTACAGATATGGAAGAGTGATAGGGGTTCAACAAGGGAGCTCAGTATAGGTAGTAAC